CAGTTTTGTAACATTCATTCGCTAAAAGAGCACCAGATTCAGCTGCTGCGCCGACCTTGTGCTCTGCATTAAACTGGGTCATTGTGTTGCATTAATGCTTCATCCATTATGCACAGCTACACACATCATTCAGGTGAAAGTGGGACGCTGCCAGTATGTCCTTGAGTTTAATATGTTCCTTTTCAGCTTTGTGACAGATGCCATCAACTCGTGAACACACAAAGACTGTGAACATCACAGTGACGGAAACAGCTAATGGGATTCAATACAATGAATGAAAAGAGGCTGTTAGGGTGGCTGTACGCTGTGTCATTGCGACTGGGTATATTAACCTTCAGGTAAAATATCCAAATAAGTAAAAATGTAACATGACATTTGACATGACATTTGACATTTGAGCTGATAATTATGTCTGACATAAGGAACCTTTGTTTTTCTATATTTTTGCTTCTCCTCATAATTATGATCACATCACAGAAAACAAACTCTTCTTTGCAGTGATGGAAGAAGTACTCAGATGTTTTATTGGTATTTTTTCATGTAAAAGCATTTTGTGGTTCAAGCTTCACAAATGTGATTGTTTTGGGTTTAATAATTTGAATGTATTTCTAATAATGTTGAGGTTTGGACTGTTGGTTGAACCAAACAAGCATTGTGAAGGTTTTGCTTTTATAGAAGCCCATTCCCACCATTAAAATAAAAAATACAATGAATACTTACTTATTAATACTTAATAATAATAAAAAATGTTGTCACTGTTAATGTGACATATATTATGTGATTAAGTCATAAACAGGTGCCTGCTTAGCTCAGTCAGTAGAGCTGGTGACCCATGTATGGAGTTACTGCAGCAGGCCGGGTTTGAATCCGACCTGTGGCCCTTTGCTGCGTGTCATCCCATCTCTCTCTCTCTACTGACTTTTCCTGTCTATCTACAGCTGTCACTATCTAATAAAGCCAATAAAAGTAAAAAAAAACCTTAAAAAATAAGTCATGATGATAAATAAAAAATATTGGATAAAAAAATATGATCTTATGCTAATTATTTAATCTCATAATTATGATTTTGTATCTCATAATTTTTTTTAAATTTTATTATTTATTTCACCTTATTTTATTTATTCTACTGGGCTTCCATACACTTTGGGCTCTGGGTTGTTGAATCCATAAACCTATCCGTTGCAGTCTGATACAAAATGATTAAAAATTAGCTCCACCTCAAACATTTAGAACAGTACAATCCTGCTTTTACATTTATACATAATAATCTAATGATATATAGAATAGTACAATAGTCATTTTTCAAGTCACATTTCACTGATTATACGTACATATAAAAGTAAAGGATGTGATTACTTCCTCCACCACTGATCATGACATATAGTTTATATGCATGTTTTTTCATGTGTGTATCATAACATGACGAAACATATACATAGTGTTTTACTTTACAAGGTGATGGCACTGTGTGTGTTTGTTGATGTGTGTGTTCTACACACCCTCACTGCTTTGTAGCACCACAATCTTAGGTGTGTGTTTGCTTTTAGGTTTTCTATTGATCGATTGTCTTTGCTGTTGTCAAGAAGCTCCTAGTAGCTGAACAGTTGAATAGAAGCTGCAGTTAGGGCAGAAAACGTATGAGAAGAAGCAGCCTTGGACTGACAAACAAAGGCAGAGAACTGCAGAGCAAAGAGAAGGATGAATAGAGGAAGAGAAACAAATGGAAGAGGAAGTTTTTATTTTCACTTATTCACTACTGTATACTGTGGGTGATACCACTACCAGTCAAAAATAATAATTACAATAATTAGAATTAGTTTGAAGGCCACCTCCAGCCTGACCACGCATATCTAATTTACGCAAACCACAAAGTAATAATGGATTGTGGAAAATAAGAGCAAGTTGTGATCAGTCAAATTTAAAGCAGAAATGTGTGTTAAAGCAAATCTACGTTTTTGCCAAAATATTTCCCCAAGATTTTAGTTTCTTACAGGTCCAGTGTGTAACATTTAGGAGGATCTATTGTCAGAAATGGAATATATTATTCATTGTATCATCAGCTGAATATAGGAATCATTGTGTTTTTGTTACCTTAGAATGAAACATTTATATCTAAATACGCTGCAGGTCGCCTTTCATTGCGTCTGCCATGTTTCTACAGGAGCTCATTGGCTGCACTTAATTTCAACTTGTCTCATTTTCCAGATAAAACTTTCAGTAAACTGAAATATGTTTGAACAGATTTTAGATGAGAAACAGACAACGCAGTTACATAATCTGGATTTATAT